GATTTCGTTTCGCTTCGATTTCTCGACCTTTCATCCCAAGCCAGCGATTCCCATTATGACTGTTACGCCGACGAGTTGCTTGTTATCTTCAATTCCGGCGTCTCGAAAAACCTCCGGACTGTAATACACAACGGCGTCGTTTCCAGAAGCCTGCATGAAGAAATTGACTCCAATGGCGGCGATCAGAATTCGGCGGACCGACGGAGAAGGATTCAGTAACAATTCTTTCCACACGCCTTCGCCGCGCCATTTGCCGGAAGCAGAGGAAGCGGATTTTATAATTTCTCTAAATCTGAGTTCGGCTTCTTCATTCGAATCGGAAATTTTGATCAGATTTCGTTTCGCTTCGATTTCTCGACCTTTCATCGCAAGCCAGCGAGGCGATTCCGGCATGGCGGAGATGCCGAAGGCGACAAATACCGCCGGAAATGCTGCGATTCCGAGCATCAATCTCCAGTTTATGCTTGCAGGAAGACCGGCGAAAGCGTAATTCGAGATGTATCCAAGTAAAATTCCGGCGTTGATGAAGATCTCCGGCAGAGACGTGAGGAGGCCGCGAGTTAACGCCGGCGAGAGCTCGGCGATGTACACCGGAGCGATCGTGAGGGAGAATCCTACGCCGATGCCGGCGACGACGCGTCCGGCGACGATGAAGGGGAAAGACGGTGCGAAGCTCATCAATATCGCGCCGGCGAGGAATGTGGCCGCTGCGATGACAATTGTATATCGCCGGCCGATCCAGTCGGAGGTCTTGCCGGAGGCGAGAGCTCCGATGAGAGAACAAACGTTYAAAGAACCAACTAAGATCTCTTCTTGTTCTGTGGTAATCGTCAGATTCTCTTTGATGTACAAAATCGCACCACTCATCACTCCTATATCTGAAYTTAGACACATAATTAAAATAATATAACTGTATTTTAATATTATATAATCTCAACTTTTTWAAAAAAAATTATAATCACATTTCCAAATTTTTAATTTGAACCATTACCCCTCAAATTTATAACATTGTAGTATAATATTTAAAATTTTCACAAATACACTTTTAAATTATACTTYCAAATATATCTATGAAATTGCTTCAATTTGATCCAATCACTAATAAACTAATTACTGTAGTGTTAAATTGCAAATACTTTATACGCTCGTTCATAACAACCTCTATCTTTAGACACGATTTTTACTATTATCTGTAATCTTAATTAAGTTAAAAAAGAAGTTGAAAATTAAACAATTAAGATGCGAAAATGGTGGGAACTGACCGTAGCCGAGGAGAACGGAGTTGGTGGAAGCCAGAACAGCGGCGGCGAGCACGTATTTATTGAGACGACGGCGGCTCTCTCTTTCAGCGGCAACTTTGGGAGCTCCTCCGGCGACGGTTTCCGGCGGAGAATCGAGAAGTGGAAGGAAGAGGCGGCGGCTGTCGTCGTCGTCGTCTTGTGGCGGCAGAGCCGCAGTGGAGTTCTGCATCGCTGGAAAATGCGAAGACAGACACACGTCGGAGAGGAGTCTTGTTTGTGAATATAAATACAAAACAAATTTGTGTCTATCTTTAACTTTTTTATATTGCTATCTATAGTTATTTATTTATTTTCAAGTTTTAATCATTTTAGCCGTTCCTTTGATGCCTTCAAATATGATCATAGAAGTTGAAAATGGAAGTTAAAATAGAATAAATTACCTAATTCATCGAATCCATTTAATTTAGTCCGTCAGTAACATGGGTCATCTAGTTTCACACACAATTTTTAAAAATTAGACCATCTAATTTTGTCTGAGTTTGATTGGTTGTGATTGARCGATTATTTTAGTTTTCTAATACGATGATTCACTCACCGTAATCTTAGTTTAASTAAACACTGAGACTAGACCTACCATGTTGTAAAGAATTAACAAGAATAATATTTGACGGATGCTTACCATTCAACACTAATTTTTATGTTGGATATCAATAAAAATCCGAATATTTTACAAAATAGAAAAGATCTTATTCCATGTATTTACCTATTATATTTGTAAAAAATTTAATGATGGTCAGCAAAATATGATTGTTGAATAATAAGCACCAAGTATTGTTATTTTTTAGTTCAAATGAGAAGTGAAATTTTAAACTCACGTCTTAAAAATGTTATATTTGTTTTTTTTTGTTTAGTACAACAATTTGGGGATATGAGAGATCRAATTTTCAACCTAAAAAAATGAGTATATGACAATTATTGTTGAGTTATGCACATCTTGACAAATGTTATATTAACAATTTTAGTTAGACTTATATTTACGCTAGAGCTGTTTAGAGAAGGCAAATTAATTTTCATTTATAACAAGGAGATGGCCTGTAAAAAAAAAAAAGGTTTATGTATAAGAAAATAAAATGAGTGTAAGAGAAATTATGAGTATGACTATTTTTTAAAAAGATTTTAAAACAGAAATTTGTGATCATAATTCACAAAGTGGCTTTAGTGAAAGGGGCCATAAAGCCACGCTGCTGACACACGCCCCTCTTTCTAAAGTTCGCATAATTTGCCTTTTTAACTGCTCACGGGATCGAACCATAATGCCTCGCTGTCAATCAACACCACTCGAACTTTAGACCTGCCATCTGGAAATTATTTTTAGGGCAAAAAAAAAAGGAAAAAAAAATTTAAAATTTTACTACATTTTTTTTTGACATTGGATTAAATTTTTACTACTAGTCAGCAAAGTTAATCAAATGTTTACGGCTGTGAATTTTATTAAAATTTACATTATAATTGGATAGGTGTTGTATTTTGTACGGTTTGATTTATAATTAACTCACCCGCTTATTAGGAAAAAAACACACACACAAATCTCTCGGAAAACTTATTAATTTTCGTGAACATCGAACTCTAACAAATCAATACAAAAAATTAAGCCCACTAGAATTGTTTATTTTAGAATTTATGTGAAACAATAATTAAGTGGAAAAGTATTTTAAAGATCTAATATCCCTACCACATTGAATAAAAAGAGAGTAAAAATTTAAAAAAAAAAAGGAAAAAAATAGATACTGTTAGTAAAAATGACAGGGTAGTTAAATTGGTGATTGTATTTGTCAATTTAAAAATATAATAATTTATTATTTGTGTGTGTTTAAAGATTTTCTCTTCTTTTATTTTCTTTGCCCTTCATTTCTCCTCTATCTTCCGCTAATCTCACCACCATCGTTGCTGTCTTAACCATCGGTACCCTTCTCCCAAAATTTGAAGAGGAAGGAACTAGTGGAAGAGTTCCTTCGAGTGAAAGAGAAACATTCATCTTCCAAATCTAGGAGAGAGAGGGGTGGTGGCAATAAAGATGGCGGGCAGCAAGGTTAGCCCGAGAATATGAAAAAGAGGTGGAAGATGYTAGAATTCAAATATATGAATTAAGAATTCATCGGTTTAAACTTTTAGGTTGAGTGGAAATTTACTGATCCTTAACATGATATTAGAGCGAGAAGTACTAGGATTYACGGGCAAAGCCAGAAGCTGYTACGCGACCTCTAGAACGACTATCTTAGCTATGTGATCGACCTCGTCTAAAACGGGTGCACAGAAGGATGAAGGCGAAACTCGAAAGGAATTTATTTCATTTTTGCCTTTCTTGTTTTGAAGAATATTTGGAAACAAAAAAACAAGCTTCTTATTTTTTTTTTTCTATAATATGAATATAAATATTGTTTTATCATTTTTCGATTTTATGGGCATTGGGCATGTAATTCTACTTTATTATTATTATTTTTTTTAATGAAGAAAAGAGGAAACATGAACGAGAAGTGACAATGTTACGCTCCCAAAACACTCATACAAGTAGTAGAGAACAGTTGGTTTTGGGCCTTTTCTTTCATAAGATATTGGGCCTACTATGTGGTATAAATTTAGCCCAGATCCATTTCAGGTTTTATATATGGTCACTTTTTTGAATAGTCATTTGAATTACGAAGTTTTATAATTTATTTATGTTGTAAATTAGGTTTAAAAAAAAAAAAGAAAGAAGTTATAAATTTGTCCAATATTTTTCAAATTAAACTTAAATCTGTGATATGAGATATTTTAAGCATTTATGGTTTTGATTCTGTCTTAATTCATTAGATTGATTCATTTAATCTCAATTCTTCATTATTTTWCTCTCATGCACTGTTTGGGGAAGGGAATACCCTGGACACGTGGAGGACCCCTATTGGTGCTCCAAGATGGCTCATGAGTCATGCCCAGTTCGGATAGCCGAGATAGCCGCCACCAACGCCGACAAATGCTAAGTATGAGGGCCGAGGTGAACCTGGCCCAGGTCTGACCTACCGGGGAGCTCGGTAGGGGCCGAGATGAGCAACTGTCTGCGGCGTGATTATCGGGCGTAACCGTCGGTCCCGAGATTACCGGGTGTAACCGACGGTCCCGAGATTGTCGAATGTAACCGTCGCTAGATTAGCGGGACCACCACCCATAAGTAGAGGACCTCACTCCCCGATCAGGTACGATGATTTCCGGCTTCGAACTAAACTTGGAATCCGACCTATACTGACTTGATCGTCGGAGTGCTCACCATTTTGTGCAGGTCCGCCCGAGTGTTCAGGTCGGTCCGGAGGCCGA